CAAAAGGAGCCACACAATACAAATCCTCTTCGTATATACGCGAGTTAACATATTCATTGAGTGCGTGTCAACTTCGGCGTGTGATGTCACTTCACGGACAGCCAACGGTTTTATTAGCGAAAAAAAATCAAAAAGGGAATCTTAGCGCCTTTTATCAAATTTTACGTCCATGTCAAATGTCAATTTTCAAATAGAGTTAGCCAAACGAGTCCATATGCGGTGAACACCATGCCACTCAAAATTAGTCAAGCTTTTATTAGAAATTCGTATGATATTCAAAATTTGTCCATCTGTTGCTTTCACGGCAACCGTTATGTTTTATTGTTTGGTACTACCAATTTTATGATCGGCGTATAAAATAAATAAATCATTAAAACGTTTATAGCTGTAAACGTTAAGGATAATAAATGAGAATGACGATACAAAGAGTTAATCGTACACTTACGTCGAAGTATCGGTAACACCCCTTTTATTTATGAACGGTAAGCGACATTATAATGTTTAAATACGAGTAGCTCTCGATTTTTATTATTCTCAAATCTTGCATGATATTTCGAGGATACCAATGTAGTGGGGGTACAAAGTTATTACAGTTTATAGGCACTCATGTAGTGAGAATAATTGAATCCTCCGACGTATAATTATTTGCCGCCATTAAATTTTCAGATTACTCGATCGCTACTAGTTACGCAGACAGCAGACATGACTTATTTAGTGCCCATGTTGCGTTTCCATCTTTAATCTGCGTGGGCGCATATTTCTGCGAAAACATTTCTTGTGGACCGTACAAAATGCTGCCAAGAAAACAGAAGTAATAATGTTAGCCATACTTGTATGGCGAAGAAGTCCGTAAATGAATCATCGCATATGCGTTCTTCGTCTGAGTGCAAAAAGAGGTTTGTCGAAAATGCTTCTCGTCCAGTCCAGTAGTGAGTGAGTGCGCGGTCCCGCTGGCTACACAGTACTCATCCCTTATTTATTTATGGAATGAAGAATGTATGAAGAATGTACCGTTTTTGTGGTGCCATAACAGCGTGCGTCCTGTGCAACTACAAACCAAGACAGTGAATTCTTTAATTGACAAAATGTTGCAATACCACATTCCATTTCGGATCGTTAGCTTTAATGTGGGAATACAAAATGGATTAATAATGAATCATTTTCTGTGTTGCAAAATACATGCCATTAACACACCACTGGTGAACCAATTTTTTAATTAGTTAACAATCAGTAACATTAATTTGATGACTTTAATGAACGAACGCGTAAGAAGTATTAACAACTTTGAATCGATGTGAGCATCAATGCAATTTGTTTTTCTTTGCAATTTACACTCAACTGGTGGAAAATATCCTCTTTAATAATTTTGAGTGCCAGGCTTATTGGTATATTAGTCTTTTTAATGCCAGAAAGTAAAATAAATATTATGTTAATATGAGACCATATCAATTTGGTATAAAATAAATCTTCATATCATGCAATCATATGTATATTTAGTAGGTAAGCATGTATATTGTTAAGACTTTACGATTTATAAAAAACAAAAAACTAATTTTAGGCAAAATTTCTCTACAGTAATATTCTCATTACTATCAAAAAGAGAAAGTTACATACAAACTAGTAAAGTGTGTCCATTAATTAAATATATTGTAAACGTCATGTTGTGATTCGAAAAATAAGTGCCGTCTAACCAGTACTTAATTTTATCTTAGGCAGGGTAATAAGACGTGAACTGTGATCGATACTAGTTTCTCTTATCAGTGATGATAAAACATGCGTAGATCGGTGCCACGCCCTGTACTTTCCCCGTGGAGCACCTGCCGGGTGAGCGAGGTGAGGTTGTGAAGCCAGTTCTGCCGCTAACGCGTGATATTGTATGTTCCACGGTCCGGCTATGTCCGTTTATAACGTACCTACGTGAGGTTATTGCATATGAGACGGGTTAAATACACCCGCGTGCGTGAAAGTTTCCCTTGCGCCGACAATGTAATCTTCGTCGGTCCTAATTTTGCAATATTTTACATAGTATATCCAATTATCGGCTTTCGTTTAATTTATGCGTTTCATATATGCTTATTGAAGAGGTTGGAAGGGCGCAAGCCAACGACCGAGGATAAGCTCTGCAGGCGGCCGCGCAGCCCGCGAGACATGCGTTACGACACCTACACCAAAATTTTCCACATGCCCGAGCAACAGATAAGCGGCGAGCGACGGCAACGTGTTATTTATTAACGAACCGAATGATCGATAGTTGGACGCGTCACCGGACTCGGATGAGCGTCGCCTTTCGAAAAGCCGGCGCGCCACATGTAGCTCTGGACCTCCGATAAATTGACCCAATGATCGACCGGTCGATCGCACTACCAATTTTCATAAAATGCTAAGTGGGTATCTCGTACTTAACGAGCAACGTTTTAAATAAATAAAATATGAAAATTATGACAGTTTTGCTGAAGAAGCTCATGTGGAACTATAAAGGACATGTGGTAAATGACATACTTACTCAAACGCTTAATACTTCTACTTCTTAGTAGAGGTTTTGAGCATTGTATTTAAAAACAGGGAGTTTTTCTAAAGAACTTAACATTTCCAAGAGCCCTTAGTATAACAGTTCCATTTTTATCATTATCAGTACCTATCATCGGTTTGTAGTGGCATCATTGTAGCACGTAAACACATGAGTTGTCTGAGAAACGGTCGTGCATTGAATGAATGGCCTTGTCGAATGCTTTGTTGGTTTAGCGGAGACTCCTTCAACCCTTGCTTGGAGCCATCCGTTCCGCTCTAGCATACGTCACGTCGCGATCGTGACAGCTGCGCGTAACTTTCTAATCGCGCCATTCAATAGACAACGCCAAACAAACAGACAAGGAGTAGGCAACTTGCGAAACTTTAAATGGCTCGAACAATTGACAGCAAAGAAAAGAGTAATCAATTAATTATTTATTGAGGTGCCACTCAACAAAAGCTGTGACAGTTAGTTGCGTAACCCGATGCTCCAGATGCATGCGTTAGTGTCTCGAGACCATGCGAGCAGAAAACTACTAAGATAAATCTAATTATGGAAATTATTATGCATGATCATGGCACCTACGCTCATTAATGTTTTAAGACATAATGCATTATTATTAATAATACATTTATTTACTCATATGACTTTCGTATTTGTTAAAAATAAAAAGAAAAGTAAAAGATACCATTCATGCAATACTTACATTACGCAACAGAAAAATGAAATATATTGATATTGGTATAATGCAGATCCTATTGCGTTTGTTTACATGTTTGATGAATGGAATATTTGCGACGTATATGTTTACTGTTTACGTTTATCGACTCGAGGCAAACACGCTAGGAAACGTATGGAATTTCGAGGTTCACCGACGCAGGGCAGGTTAGACCAGTCCCGGTGGCCTCACAAGGACCCAGTAAACCTGTTAGATTCGTTGCACGATTTTTACGTGCGCACCTACCGGAATCTCATTCACGTGGTACGCCCGTCCCCTGTGCTACCGGCCGCTGGTTAACTCGTCAAATGACTCACGCTTCGGTTGGTTAAATGCCAGAAGCTGACTTTTCCAGTTCTCGATCTTATTCGCACTTCACGGTGAGACGATCAAGTCTTAAATTTGACGTGTTCAATAACATTACAAAATGTGATTCGCTGGTTATTTGATGTCTCCGGAGACTTGTTCACTGTCATTGCCTATTCCATTTACCATTCAGTAAAACAACCATTGAAAACTCTTGTCGAGCACAAAGTAATTAACTTTGTCTTGCGCGATTTTCGAGGCTTCTGCCTAGGATGTTCCAATCTGAATTTTAACCATACTCGTACACCTGAAAACAACAAAGTTAAGTTACCTGAAAATACCTCCGCCAATAAGTATGGTGGGGCATAGAGCAAATGCATATTCATAATTTGCAGTTCCCATTGATATGAGATGTGTCTTACACAATTGAAATAATGAACTCCCGAGATATTAGCACACGACCAGGAACAGGAATCAGGTAGAACTACGATCCGGTCAAACCCGTCCGACGCGTGCTTCCAACATTTTTTATTTATTTGTCTGCATCGTCGTATACCGCTGGGTGTGACGTCAGACGACCTAAACTGGTTAGGGAGGGAGCAGGGATTTGCCTCGTATCCTTCCGGTTCTGCGAGTGGTTCGGACCTGTTCTACATCAGGTTGCTGGTGCCGGCGACCCGGCCGCGTGACGTATGGCCGCCGGGCCGCGACCACGCGATCGACTACCCGAATTAGAGCGGTTCCGTCGCCCCCGCGCATCTAGCCAGCCTGTTCCGTGCCAATAACTGCTCATTTCACTCTCTAACCGGCCACCCGCTCTGCTGACTCATGCCACTGTGTGCGCAACAATTAGCAAACGTAGCGTCGCATTATGCGCCGACGACCGCTCTGTACCATCAAAGGTCAGTATCCGTACCAAAATGGTCACACCTAATAACTGGTTCGTAACTCGTAGTCGACCCAGTCGTAAAACTACAGGCTTGGGATACCAGTATTTTACGTTATGTTTACTCGATTGATTCGATAGTGTGAATGAAAATGATCTTGCATTTATTTTATCTGCGCTGCTCTGCGCCGCTTCTATGTTCTGCTGTATGGATAGTGTGTTGGTATTTATAAATTCCTTTCGTACTTTGTAAATAATAGTACCTACAATATACAAACTGAATAGTTAGTATTTATCATGATATCAATGCGATGAAGTTAAATTACAGTGTCAAACAATATTGTCGATTACATTATGATTATTGATCATGGTAGTGCACTTAAGTCATACATAGCATAAACAAAAACTCATTTTATCGTCAGTTCAAATTTATATACCGTAAAACCGTGATTTAGAATCTAAGAAATGACAATTTAGACATTACTCTTAGAGGAAAACCCAATGCGACGGTATCGATTGAAAGTTTCCGTCGTCAAGAATCACTACTCATTTTCTATAAAGATTATTTTATTTGTCAACAGAAGACGCAAGGAGGTGATGGAGGTGAGCGGAGAGCCTTGGCGCGCGTACTACTCGAGCGGTGCCGAGCACCCTCTAAGCGCGGCCACCTCAGCTGTGCTGGACGTTTCTGAAGAGCAGGCACAACCGCTGGAATACTACCGCCTACCGCCCCTAGCCCAGGACACGCACCTTAATCTACACAAGGACCCAAAACTCGTCGATGTTTGGCAGTAAGTATGGACGACTGGTAGGTCCTACTTAGAAAAATTTTTGTTATAGAATCATAAACCGACTTCAAAACTGGTTATATTGTTTGAAGTCGGTTTATGATTCTCCTAACTGCAAGAGTTCTATATTTTTACTTTCTTAACCAACAATGATATACACATAATAATTATAGGTACTTATATATTTATTGTTTTTTCATAATTCATACGTATTTTCATCTCAATAATAGGTGATCCCATAATAAGAAGCTGACCCGGAAAGCAAAAAAAATAAGCACTGTCCTAATTTAAAAAAAAACTTGATATTGATATTGTCAAATGCAAGCTCAATAAAATTTAAAGGCGAATTTACATTACGAAATATGTGGCATGAAATTAGTACCATTAACATAAATTTCGTCAACAAAATATCACACGACTTGTCGTTTATACGTGAAATTCTTGATGAAATAGCGTATTTCACAGTATTAAAAATAAAGTGCCAATTGTTAGCATCTGTGTTTAGAATGAATATTGGCAGGGGTTTTTGCTAATTTTACAAAAAAAATATTCATAATTTTACTAAAAACCCACGAAAAATATAATAGTTTTCTTATCTAATTGTCACGTGACCCAAAACGCTTGGGATTGGCGGAGCCTAAAATGACGTCACACGCAAGTAAACTTCCGGTTAAAGTGACATTACATTGTATCGGATGACGTTTTAATAACAGTTGTGTAACGTCACACACCAGTAAGGCGCCATATTGTCCAGAAAAACGTTTTCGCGGCAACTTGCAAATGGAGTTTTTGATTTGGTTATTTTTACTGAAAAACACAACAGAATGATGAATATCTATGTCTTTTTACGGACTCCATAAATATTAGTCAATAACCGGAGATCGTTTTAACTTGTCAAATTATTGTCTACGGCATTACTTTCATGCCACAAATTTCGTAATGTAAATTCGGGTTTAAACATGTATGCTCTAGTTGCATCTAGGTGCTGTAAGTAGACAAACATACATTCATACGATTCAAATATATGCATTCTAAGATCAAATACGCAAACACTAATGAAAGTAAGGTCAGCTAAGTGCCTAATTAGTGTTAACTAATTATGATTAAAAGCTTATTGCACACGGCAAAGCTTAAAAAAATGTTTGTAGGGTAGTAACCGAGGGACAAAAAGTAGTTTTCAAATAAATTTTTACCACTACTAAATAGTGGTAAAAAATATTTGGATTCTTATCTTAACTGCTGTAAATCAGCCATTAGCAACAATAATAACGGAAACTTTGCTCCAGTATTTAGAGAACCCTATTTACTAAGAACGTTAACTAAACAAAACAAAACTCAGTTTCTCATTACCATAATAACTCAGTAATTCGGTAATAATTAAAAAGCATTATCTAAACCACAATTAACGTTTTTAACATCTATTTCTTTATAATTAATATGTCATAAAAATTGCACTAAAAGTAAACATAAAACTTAACGTTTATAAGAATTTTAATGACCAACCAAAATAAGCTTTGTTTGAAACACATAAAACATATACGAATATGCAAATGAAACCTTCAATATTGCGAACAATCAAGGTAAATAGCAGAACGATCGCGGAAAAATCGATATTCGATTCTCACGGCCGTAGATCAAATCGATCGTTCGTGTATCAGACCAATTATCATTATAATCGCCGAATTTCGAGGCGCGGTGAATACGGAATGAATTCGCGTAAAATTTATATGTAAACTATAATATTATGCAATTATTTTGTTTGATACTTTTTGTGATGAATGTAGACAGGGTTGTATGTGTTAGCTGAGTCTCACGGACGAGTACACAGAGACAAGACGCCGCGTGGCTTCCGGCCCCAAGGAAAGGTGTAAGAATAACAAATAATAAAAATGTTAATGTTCCACTCAATAAATCATAGGCGCTCATTTGAATACCTATGGCGGGATTAACAGTTGAGTTCGCAACGTGCATATCCCTCGTGCCTTACCTGCTATAGCGGCACATTTGTATATTATCGTCATATTATTGTTTCCTATTCGATAATTTATATGTATTTTTTTGCGTTTAAGTCAAACTATTAACCTCGGTTTCATGTTACAGTTTATTCGGGAGGAGGATGCAAAACAAAATAATAATTAAGATAATAATTAACGGTGGAATTTTATGATACTGAATATACCTACATATATATAAAAAATAAGATAGTTAATACATACGACATTTTATATACATAACATATTTTTTTATTTATATGAAAAAATAACAAAAATTTTATAACACGATTTTATAATGCACTCCCATTCTCTCTATTCTCAAAGAAACGCGACCCCGATCAAATTATGCTCGCTCTTTTTGAAAGAGGTTGTTAACAGCATCCCTGAATGCCGGCACAGAAATGAGCAAACGCCGTGTGACATTCCCTATACAAGTAGTGCATAATGTTAACTTGACCCCATACAAACCATTTAAATTTTTACGAGTTTTATTATATTCCATAAACACAGTATTTAATAGGAGACGAAGTCGTTTAAATCCATGAAAATGGTAATTTTATGAATAGGTGACATACTTGAATACATTTGTAAGACTGGTGCATATCTAAATGATGTTCATAATAGAAATGTATAGCAAAGGGTGGGCGCAGCGTGCGTGTAGTGCTGGAGTGGTAAATAAAGTCCTCCTACGTAGCGCCGCACACGTAGCTTGGCTCTTGGCTCAACAGCGTCAGCCAGGCCACGACCGCAGGCGTCCCGGAATGTGAGAGACGACGCGATTTCGGTCCGTCATCCTCGTCACCGCACGCGGGACTGCATAAATACAAATAATGACAATAGACGGATGTGGTGGAAGCGGCTCACATTGACAAGGACGCCCAGGACTTGTCTCATTGTCGGCACGCGGCCCACGCGGCCGTCGCGCGCCGCTATTGCTCATTCATACATTCAAAATTATAACGAACGCTCGGCTCGCCCGCACCCATCACGGCGCGCTATGTCTCCAAATGTGTTTGTATGCTAATCGCCTGGTGCCAGTGCATCGTCAGGTTTGGGGGCACTGTATTTGTTGTCTAAATCGCTCGTATTATTTGAATTGAATGCTCGATAGATGTAGAAATGAACTAGTTCCGGCTATATAGGTTTCTTCCAGTTCTATCGTAGGCGTTCGATGTTACGTAAACGCATTGCTTAGTGCGCAGGCGCAGTGCCTCCTCTAGGATTGCGGATATTACTAGCATTAAATGGAAATACTACTGCCATAATCATTAATAATCGTCGGAGGCTGTCGAATGCGAACGTTGAGATTAGCATAGAAACGAGCCACGGGGAGCCTCCGGGAGGGCCTCGCCCTCTTGACCCTGTCACTGTTCGCACTTGCAATACTAACGGGAAAACAGTTTCTCTTTACCAGCTAACACGAAGGCGTTATTATAGAAAGTCCTTTAATTATAATCAATATGGTGGCCTAGAATGTTTGTTTATTTTTATTCGATTTTGAGCGATCATATTTTTCTTCGAAATTTTGTCATTTTTATGTCATGAAGTTTTTTTATTAATGTATATTTTGAATACCACGAAACAAATTAACCTTAATGAAACAAAATTTTAGAGGTATAGAAAAAAAATTCAAAGGTAATTTATTTGCCGATGTCGCGGTGGCTGAATAAAAACTTCGGGAGTAGGAACCGTGTGACCCATTTAGGACCAGAACCGGTTTCCTCTTGAAGAAACGTCTCATTGTTAATGGCACAGCAGTTAATGCCATTCAATTCTCTTGAAAACACCCTTCCTTTTTACAAATATAATAAATAAAGAAGATAGTACCATCGTTATGTCCCCAAAGGCTCATCTCGCATGGAAATATAAAATCGGGGCTTGACCATTCATTACCGTGTATCCTTTTTATATGCGAATATTTTGAAACGGTCGTCTAACGAAACCCGATAGTCGTATATGCGAATTATTATTGACTGGCTGGCGGCTATTATTACATTCCGGCACTAACTTACAAAGTTTAGACATAATTGGGCATAAGGAAAATTTTAACAGGAAATTAATTGGTAAAGATAGCCAGTGCACGTAATCGAGCGTTCATTTTTAATGACATAGACAAATGGCGAAATCTTTTTCAATTAAAGTTTTCGATAATGTATTAGTTCCGTGAGAAAAGTAGCAATAAACCTACATTTAGCTGAATGATATATTCAAATAGAATGGAATTACGTTGGTCGCATCCGCTGCGTGCGCGCCTCCCTCAGCTCATTGGCCGGCCAATAGATTCTAATCTACTCATCAAACGATGGTTAAACTGTCGTCGCTTCCGACTTTTATTGCGATAACTTTAACTACGAATGCTTATCATATGCTATTGAAGGTTTATTCCAACGAATCTGTAGTTAGTTAAATTGTTCCTGATCATATTTGAAATCTCAGTATTTTTTTCTTATCGAACTTAAAACAATTTAAAGAAGATATTTTGCTAAAACAGAATTTATTTTTACTTTAAACTTAATTTTGAGTACAAGTCAATAATCTCAAACCCTTAGTGGTCGTGCATATATTTAACACTGAAATACTACGAACCGGTTTCTATGGAAATCTATCACAAAGTAACAATTTAACTGTGATTAGGAATCTGACCGTAATATAGCTATTTATGTCTACGCTTACGTTCACGATTATATTGAATTATTTATAAATACACCTACTTTTATGCAGAGTAAATTATAATAGGTATTTTTGCATTACATGGGCAATTCTCAACTTGTTAGCATGATTTTTTTATAACCATACCTTAGGTATTTTGATCTTAACATTAAGTTTCAATAAGAAGTTCTTTTGGAGTTCTTAGAAGCAGTGACTACTGCTGCGACCGAAAAGATCACAAATATCAATCGTAACAATTTTTATAATCTTGTTGTGATTCATAAGAGGTATTTCATCAAACGTTCGAGATGCAGGACGTGAGGGTAACGTGCACCCCAAATGTTGCATTGTCGAGATCTC